TTCTGTCTTCTTTAAGAGTTTTTTTTTTTGGTTGTGACCTAGACCCAAGACAAAGATACTCCCATGTATATGTGTGTGTATATATATATATATATTCTTATGTGTATTTACATATATACTTACACATATCTAAAACCTTTAACAAGTAAGCCTTCAGTCCCCCTGGAATTAATTCTTGGAATGTAAATGTTCACTCCCATGTTCCCGTGACTAAATGCTCTCACTCATGTCTGCAGATGACAGAGACCCGTAAGCATCACTCTCATCCTGACCCCTGGGGATTTGGGCTTTTCTGTCCAGTGGTGACACAGAGAGGGGCTGACTTCTCTGGTGAATGAGGGTAGTTCCCTCATTCCCTAATATCTACTGTTCAACAGGCTTTAGTCCCTGGTGTTCATGCGTCTCTCAAAACCATATGGTGGGGGGCCTCCCCAGTGGCACAGCGGGTTGAGCGCCGCACTGTGAAGCTGTCCACAGCCTCTGCAGCGTGGGTTCAATTCCTGGCTGGCCAGGGAGATACCCACATGGCGCAGCAGACCTCTCCTGTCTCACCCTCTGCTCCCCTCAGCAGTGTCTTTGGTCCATCTGCCTGTTCTGCTCCTCACTCTGTCTTTGGTGAAATCTCTCACCCTCCTGCGCCTCTGGCCTGTACCCCGGTTCTTGTATAAATAAATAAATCTTAAAAATATACAGGGTGGGGAGATTTAAAAAACATATATCAGAGTATAAATCCATCCCCAAAGTTTCCATTTTAATTAGGCTTGGGTGGAGCAATTGCATCAACATGTTCAGAAGCTCTGGAGGCAATTCTAATGCAATCCCAGGGTCAGGAACCCCTGTTCTGGAGTTTGTACTTAGAGATGATTTTGAGTAGAGATGATTTTGAGCCAGCCTCTTGAAACCCATAAAATGATATCAAAATGAGCTTCCCTCCACCCTCCCCACGGTTATAAATACTGTGCATGCTCATTACAAAGCAAGGGGAAAGCTAAGCATACATGATGCATAATTGCACATCTCATTTTGTAGATTTCTTGCAAGCTTTATCTTGGTGTGTATGTGTGTATTTATGTAGTTGGGGGTCACCTTGAAAATATCAGTGTGAGCATTTTTCTGTAACATTTGTTCTTCAGAATCACCCTCAATACGGTTTAACAGTCCACCTCATCATAATTATTATTATTATGCATTGTCCATACATACACCTGCTGTGTTGAAATCATATTTAATTCTGTTAGTGATTTGTTCTTGTATATATGGTGATTGTAATTGCTCTGCTTGGGGGAACAAAGAATCCGTGATGAATGATTAGCAGTATGATGTCCAGAGTCAGCGAGAGCCAGGTTCAAATCCCAGCTTTGCCACTCATCCGTTGCATGACATCAGGGAAACGACTCTGTTACTCTGCCTTTTTATACTACTCTTAAAAACGAGGGTAATAATAACCTTCCCACACTGGGCTGTTTTCAGGACTCAGTGAGACGATGGATGTGACTTGCTTGACTCAGGGCTGAGCACATAGTGCCTGGTGGATCTTCCTCCAGTGCATGGCATCTGGGAAAGAATAAGGGCAGCCCTGGGCCTCACTCAAGTCCATGTGACTGGCCTGGCCTGACCCGGTTCCCCCCATAGTAGGCGTTCCTGGGAGGAGACAGTCAACACCACGATGGACTCCAGCCGTGCCCAGCTCAGTGGCAAATACAGAGCTGGCTGGTGAGCCCTGGTTCATAGGAGAAGGTAAAAAAAAAATGCTGATTTCACTAACAATGGCTGCTGCTAGCTGGCAGGCTGAGTCAGCGCTAGAATTCGTCCTCCCTGGGACTTCCCTGCCTTTGAGAAGCAAATCTCAGCTACAGAACTGAGCATGAGCACAGGCCATGGGGGTATTTACAAGTGCCTCAGTGGATCTAAGGTGCAATCAGGGTCGACAGCCAGATTCTTTGGGGTCAAGCAAAGTGATCTCCCTCCAGTGAGCTTCTCAGAAATGCAGAACCCCAAGCCCGACCTGTTGAAGAGGAATCTGCCTTCTTAACAGGTCCCCAGGGGCTCACAGGCACATTTAAACTGGAGAAGCTGTTGGAGAAGAGAAAACTTCCAGGAAAGACATCAGGATTGGTGCATGCTGTCACCCTCTCTAGAGTGACTGTGGATGGGTGGCTTTGAGCGAGAATGATGGCACAGGGAAAGGCAGCATAACCCACGGTGTGTGAGAGGAGAGGAGCATATGGGGTCAACGATGTCAGGTGATCTGAGAGTGAGAGAAAGGGGTGTTTGGAAGGCGTAGGTGTTTGAGTCACATGTCCCCCGCTGGCCATGCTCACGTCACCCATTGTCCAAGCAAACGTGCCAAAGGATGTTGGCTTCCAGGTCAATGTGAGGGCCACTGGGGATGGGCTTGATGGTGTGAATGTCCCAGGGTTGTCCTGGCAGATCCTGCAGGTGCCCTGCGCACCCCGGCTCGGTGGGGGGCCCTGGGGAGTGACGTGTGCTCCAAGTCTGGAGGAGGTACAGCTTAAGCAGTCCTCGAGGGGGAAGAGCTTGGAAAGAATTTGTGAACTTGACTTGATTCCCTGGAGACTTGTCAATGCTTGGAGAGAGAAAAGCAAATCCTTGAAGCAACTCGGGGTCCATGAAGTGACAAGTTGTAGTTTGACTTTTCACTCTCGTGATTGAGTCAGAGTAATGCCATAGATAGAAGCATCTCGACTTTAACACGGCCTGACAGCTCTTCTTGCCTTTGGTTTCTTTCTTCTTTATTTTAATTGGGTCCAAGAAAATAGCACAGCTGACTGTTCTCCAGTTCTGCGTATTTCTTCCTGAAGAAACAGCCACCCCTGCATCCATCTACTGCTCTTCAGTGCACCTGGCCATGTGCCCCAGATTCCTGTAGAAACTCCAGGGCTCTGTTAGAGGCTCTGGAATCTTCTAGAATACTATCAGTACCTTATTGGAGAAATAGTGTAGAGGTTGGAAGGGTGGAAAATAGATATGAGTGTCAGGCTCTAAACAGACAGTCAAGAGAGAGATCAAGATCAAGAAAAAATGGCAAATAAAATAGTGTTTGGTGGAGATATTGAGGGGTTTTAGTTCCCTGGGGTCTAATTGCTTTTGTTGACATGAAGTGACGGTCAGGGCTCTGTTCTGCTGGGTGCCCTGGCTGCTTTACTGTCAAGCAACATCATGCAGTGACTCTGATTCCCCATGTCCAGCCCAGCTCCGGACTCCAACGCTGTTCGAGGTTGTAGTTTTCAATCTCAGCTGACATATTTTGATCATGAAATGAATATTCTAGAACAACTTGATGGCGAGAGGCCTGATGAGTGAGAAGACTTGAATCTGTGTCCTGTTCTCATTGCAGAGATGAAGACATGAAGGGAGCCAAGGCTGCATGGATTCCCCGAGGTGGCTGCTGGTAATGAGGAACGCAGAGCTCCAACCAGGTGCTGTGATTCTGAGTTCTTTGACTCACTGCTGGGTTGGGGGCAGAGGATTGGGGGAGATGGCTAGAACTGCATTTTGAGGATTAAATATATTAATGTCTTTAAAGTATACATTGAAATTCATGTAATGTGTGAAGTCCACACTATGTATCCGGTCTGTGAGGTGTATGCATACCTATGCCCTGTTCATGGAAGTTTGAGCTGGTGTCATGACTACGGCTTTCTCAGTTCTACCCCGAGGACCCAGAAGCAGAGCTGGGGCGTTGGTATAAGTTCTTTCCAATCATAAATGGCACTGCTTTAGCTAACCCCCTGCACTCTTGGGTATGCATTTGGGCAGCTTGGAAAGTCTCTTTGTAACTTGCTTGTAAAAACAAGAAATTCTACTGGGCGAGACGACAGCCCCACTTGTCAGTATGTTGTTTCACAGAGGGTGTCTGTGTCTGGAATAGAAAGCACCACATGCCGTATTTTTAAGACCAATGTAATAACCCGATAGTGCTAAAGCTGCTGGTGGCCAGAGTGGAGGTCACAGCAGCTAGCAGGGAATGAAGACAAGCGGACCCTGTGCCAAGCTGGCTCAGTCCTGTGTGTCAATTTCCCCTCAGAGCCTTCTAGACCCTATGCGATAGGCGGTGCGACCGACTCTTTTCTCCAGCTGAGAAAATGGAGAATTGATGTAATTCCATCAAGGACGACTAGCAGGTGGGGGGATTGCTTTTGGAATGTAAAATGTGGATGATCTAGACTCAATTTTGCTTTCAGGTGTTTTCTTCCCCTTTTATCTGTTATTTGTAGGATGTTTAAGAGACAAGGGAATCTGGGAGAAAGATTAGTTCTTCTCAGTCTGACATTGAAATGAGAGTGGCGGGCACCTAACAGGGCCAGGGCAGCTCAGGGGCCGCAGGAGAGGCCTGATGCTGCCACTTGTGGGACTCAGATGTGAGTCATTGTAGAGTATCTCTCACCATTTCGATGCACAGAGAGTGGTTTAAATACAGGTTGGAGTTTGGGGTCAGGTCCTGAGTGCTAAGCACCCATGTCACCGTGTAGACATTATTTTGTGCTCCTGACATTGAAGATGCTATGAGCTGACCGTGAGGGCATACTTCCTACTGCTGAGATTTGGGAACTTCCGGTGTTTATCTCGCCAGCCACACGGCCGCCATGTTTGTCTGCATATATAGACAAGTGCCTTGCTGTAGTGATCTTCCAGTTATGTCTTTGGGTAATTTTGCAGACATGTTTACTTTCCATTGACCGGCCCCCAGATGTCTGTTGATGGAAACAAGTCCCTTCTCTATTTTCCCTTCCCTCTGGCATTGTTGCTATTTTTGCTGGGTGACATGTTGAGTACATTTCTGAGGGTAGTCAGGTCTCAACTTCAGTTACCAAGAAAAATAATGCACAGGTTGGGAAGGCCTCCTTTTCTGGGAGAGAATTTAGTGGCTCTGCATTTAGAATGTGTGTTTCAGCTCTGGTGGTGAGTTAACGAGTTTGCTTCTCCACACTGCTCCCTGACTTGAGAGTTTATGAAATAGACTTTAACTGAAAGGGGATAAACAACTAAAATATTTATTGCAGGAAATAAAAAAGTTAACCAAAGTATTTTATTGATACATTCTTGGACAATATCACAGAATTGAGAGAGAATGGAAGGGAGGGGTAGTTTTTCAGCAAGGGTTTTTCTCTTCCCACTAAATTGGCACATAAGCAACAAGATTAACGAAAGTACTTATTACAAACAGTAGAAAACATACATGCTTTTTTTTTTTTAAAGTCCTTATCACACTGGTCAGTCATGGGGGAGCATGAACAAAACCTCAAGACATGAAAAATCCATATTCTGGTCTCCAAATAGCGTCATCATTATTAAAATTATTGCAAAATATCCATATACCCTAATGAAAATAACAAAAGAGAACACAAATACAAATATTGAACGGAAATTGGTAACATGTACTGTAAAATACGTAACTGGCATGCATTCTGAAGATCAAGACCTCTATTCAGTCTAGCCGTTACCTCCTCCTAGGGCCTACGTCTACCAAGGATAGGTGGACATTCTTCCTCAGCACAGTTTTTGGTCTTTAAATATCATTTTGTCTTAAAAAATATAACATGATTTGCAGCGCTCCTATTGGCATTACAGAGTCCTGTCACAGGCGGTTCTGTTTTGAGTCGGCCGAGATCTTTCGAAAAATTGAACTGCTCTGAAATTCTCCCCAGTGTTCCACCGTCCGAGTGAACAGGGCTCTGAAAACCAGGCATTCGAAAACAAACAGCGAACCAAGGTACAACCAAGGATGGCAAAGTGCAAGAGTCCTCACAAACTGTACAGAAAGTCTCTAGAGGTCCGGACAGCGCTCGGCCCCACCGCGGTGGCCCGGCGCCCGCTGGTCACCCAGAGAGCCAGTGGGACTGGAGTCTCTACTCTCCCTTTGGCAGGGAAGGTCCGAAATTGCAGCCGAGTTGGCAGTGCTGATGCCAGTGACTTATTAAGCCAAGATAAAGGAAGAATATTTCATAAAGCAGCCATGTAGGACACTTGGATCCTCTAACGTTAGTCTCCCGGCCAGGGAAGCTCCACCGGTGATGGGTGGCGGGCAGGACCAAGAGTCCTATGCCAGGTTGGGTGACGAAATAACTGAGGGTCTTCCTCCTCCGTGGTGCTGTGGCCTGGGCCAGGCTAGATCACCAGGTTATTATAACTGACATACTTCTTTTTTGCAGCAGGGCCTGAAAGAAAAAGGTGCAAGAGTTAGTGGTGGCAGTGGCCCTGTTGGCAGAGGTAGGAGCCGCGTCTGTGAGGCCTTGGGGGCAAAGTCGAGATGGGGGGTTCATGGGGGGACACACACATTGTTTTGGGTCCCTGGGCTCTGAGTTCTGAGGTTTCGTTCACTAACTTCTCAAACCCTCTGGGTTCAGTGTCCGGAGACGTCTCCAACCTCCCTCTTGACGGTCCAGAGGGCGAGTACTTGACACAAGCATGGCGGGGTTTCTAGCTGGCTCCCCTGTGCTGAGGCCACCCAGGTGGCGGTGTGTTTCGAGCGGCCTGGGCTGGGGAAAGGAAGCCCTGGGGCCCTGGCACTGACCTGGGTGGACTATAGATCAGCTCAGCCAGTGTTTCCTCCTCCAGTTCTGAGTCACACGGTGACCTTACTGCAGGCTGCCTGTTAGAACGTCATCAGCAAGTCCTACCTGCTCATGGGCCCTGCCTTCCCATCCTGGTTTGACGCGTGCAAAAATCTCCGCGAGTCTCATGTGCACAAACCTACGCTTGCTTTCCTCGATGTAGACTAAATTATTTTTCCATTTGGTAAGTGATTTCCAGACTCATCTTCACTGACTCACTCACTCACTGACTCACTGTGTCGATTGCCTGCCAGAGGCCAGGCTGAGGGTAGGCACTGGTGACAAATCAGATCCTTTCCTGCCCACGTGCTGGAAATAAGGACTCAAGCTCTAAAGCGGGACTCTGCTTTCTGTTCTTATTCTCAGTCCTGAGTAATTCAATTTCTGTGACTGGACATGTTCTTAGTCATTCTGCACCTGCTCGTTGGACATGAAGTAACTGCCGTGTGCTGTTCGGCAGCGGCTGATCTTACTGACTGTTCTCAAACCCTAAATGGTGGTGTTCATGGAACACAAACAAATTGTACAGATTCTTTCAGAACCTGTAAGTAGGGATTTCAGTGTGAATTTAGTGGAACAGAGAAGCTGCAGTCACAGACGGCTGAGAGTTTGTGTCTGTACAGTGAGGAACACATCTGGGCACCAACACAGAGAGACGGTCTTTCTGGATTAAAAATTTGGATCCTGGGGGGCCTCTCTGGTGGTGCAAGGGGTTAAAGCACCGCACTATGAAGCAATCTGCAGCCTTGGCAGCTTGAGTTCGATGCCCGGCTGGCCAGGGAGCAACCCACATGGCACGGCAGACCTCTCCTGTCTCGTCCGCTGCTCCCCTCAGCAGTGTATTTCGTCAATCTGCCTGTTCTATTCCCCGCTCTGTCTCTGGTGGATCCTCTCACCCCCTGCATCTCTGGCCCGTGCCCTAGCTCTTGTACGCATAAATAAATAAATCTTTAAAAAAAAATTTGGATTCTCCTTGAAAATCCCCACTGCCAGATTCATTTCTCTATTAAGTCATCTTTGAAAACTAGAAATAGGGGGGGATAGAAATCCAAGAAATGGAGGGTCTTAGAGACAGTCTGGTCATGTGTCCAGTCATGTGTCTTCACCACACACACACACACACACACACACACGCAAACACACACACACACACACACACACACCCCTTCCAATGCCGGGGCCTTCTAGGCAGGCTCCCATTGCCACCCAGCCCTCGTTGTCTTCAGTCCTGTTACACTAGACGATCCCAGCTGACAGTTGCAATAAACAGCCACAGCAAGCCCTGTGAGCCGTGGACAAAAGGAGAGAGGAGAAAAACAAACAAAAAAAATCCAGACACTTGCACTGACCTAAATACTCAAGACCACCTCCACTGTGTGAATAACTAAGATTGTTTGCCGCGGACGCCTAGCTGTCCAGGACAGGGAACGAAACGTACTTGAAATTCCTCTCCCAGATTACTTTAAAACACCAATTACTCGGAAAGAGTCTGCACAGAGAATAACTTAGACAATAATGTCCTTGCAGGCAATGTGAACATTAAGCTGTCACCAAGACGGGGCGATGTCTTTAAAACTGAGAAATGATCATGGAAATGACACTTGTGTGGATTTCTGCTGGTTTCCAGCGGCCGCAGTGAGTGTGTGTCATTCCCCCTTGGAGCTCAGAGGGGTTGAGCGCTCAGAGGACCAGAGTCCTGAGCAGGGGACTCTGCTCTCCAGGCAGGCTCCCCCTGGACACACCTGGCCAGGTCTGACCAGCTGCATCACTTCCTTGAGGGGTGACCTAGACCCCGCAGGTGTGGCTTCTCCGAGCCTGTGGGCTGTTGACATCCCAGGCTCTGCGGTGGGGACAGTTGCGGTCACTTACGGGCTGTTGACTACACGGATGTCCAAGCTGTCGGGTTTCTCCTGTAGTAAAAGAGCTTGTGTATTTTAAACTGCAAAGTTCTAGACACTCCATCAGCCTTCCCCCTGCTGCTCTGGGGAAAGTCCTACGAACGTGGCCATGAGGGATGATGGGAGCAGGCAGGGCCTGGGGGGGGGCAGTCCACGCACCTGCCCAGAGCGACGGCCAGTGTGTTGTTTATTGTGAAGACACGTTAGACTTATGAGTAGACGAAACAAGTGTCTAGGGCGTCTGTTAATTCCGTTTATTTGCATCGTCACGAGATCTGTGATCCAGGGAAGAAGATCGCTTCACTCAAAATAGTTGTGCCTTGAAATCGTGGCTAAGGAAACAGGCTTGTGATTTTCATAGAGCTGCTATTTTTCTCTCCTGCTTCAAAACTAAAAGTGTTTAGGGAGGAGAGCAGCATGGGGCATGGTCCCTATGGAATGTTCGAAAGTTAGCTGCATCGGCAGTTCTCAAGCAGGGTGCCTTGAGCCGGCGCTGACCCCGAGGGGCGTCAAGAGCGGGGTAATCACCGTGAGTCACCAGCACGCCTTTGCTCCGGGAGAGGGGTCAGGCGTGGCACTTTATCCTTGGGATATTATGAAAATCAAACGTAATTTAACACTAATTTCAGTCAAGTCGTTGTTTGTGCTTTTCTCATGAACTTTTTTGTCTCACAAAAATTTCATCTCACAAAAATTCCATTTGCCAAGTGGCTCACTCAATACCCGGGTCGCACAATGTCAGGGGAAAAGGACAGATGTGACGACGCCAAGGACTCTCTTCAGGATGACGAGAAACACTGAATCATGGAAAACACTGATGGGGTGCCAGGGAGGAGGCTTCCTCCCTCAACCTACTTCTGCTTTCTTTTTTCAAAAATACGGTGCCATCACTTAATAATGCTACACCAAGTGTTTCCTTGAGTTCTTTAAAACAGTTGGCTGTGTGGGCCTCCCCGGGGGCGCAGCGGTTGAGCGCTGGGTTGCGAAGCTGCCTGCGGCCTCTGCAGCGCCGGTTCGATCCCCGGCTGCTCCCCGGCCACCGGAGGAGGGTCCCACATGGCGCGCAGACCTCTCCTGCCGCCCGCTGCTCCCCTCAGCAGTGTCCTTCGGTCCTTCTGCCTGCTCTGCTCCCTGCTCTGGCTCTGGTGAATTCTCTCACCCTCCCGCGCTTCTGACTGTACCCAGTGCTTGTATGTATGTATGTATAAATCAATCAATCAATCAATAAATCTTAAAAAAAAAACAGTTGGCTGTGTGCACAGACGTAAATATGCATAAGGGTGTGTATGGTGTGATTCAGATGGACATAGACACAAAAAAACCGCAGGCCCCACCCCAAAAATCACAGGCCCCTCTAGTGGCATCTTTGCTTCAGGGGCTCTGCCTCCCTGTAGGGGTGGGTGGAGGCTTCCCAGCTCCCATCCCCAAAGCCACTGATGTGATGCTGTGGGCTCCCTGCTGTGCTGCTGTCCACAAAGCTGACTGTTGTGCCTCCTCAGATCGCACTCCTGACTTTTAAACCACAGCGAGCTATTTTCCCTTCAGCGTCCTAGGGAGGGCCAACACAGTCTGGGGAAATCAAGAAATCAATTCTCAGTTCTGCCCTGAAAAGAGCCAAGGAATGAACTAGTGTTTCTTTAAGAAATCTAATTTGTACTGCACGATATACAGTGCCAGGCAGAGGCTTCCACATTCTGAGATGATGCCCAGCAAGCCAGGAGGCCGGGTCTGTTTTGAACACTGTAAGCTCAACTGAGTTGATATCTGGGGCATTTGGTTGATGTTTTGCCCTGGGGTGGGGGGAGAACCCAGCATTACTACCTCAGAGACTTCGACTTCTTTGTGCTGCGCTCTGCCTGGGCACGATAGAGCTTTGGAGGCTGACTGCGTAAGCGATGCCAGGCCGTGGAGCAGGTGGACCTCAGCAGCCACGTCTGGCTTAAGGATACCGTTGCAATCCCAGCCACACTGGCTGAGTGGCAGAGTGGAACTTGTTAGCCCTCCTGAGTGAAGGCTCCTGCTGACACCGTGTCTTGCTGCCTGCAGTAGGAGCTTCCCAGCGCAAGCATGGATTCCCTGAAGTCATTTATTCAGCTGTTACTAAGAGTGCACAGTGTAATAACTAGCTTAAAAACGAGTGGTGTGAAGGGAGTGGAAACCATCTCCAACCTTGAACAGTTCCTGATCCCATGCAATTCAGCATGTTTCCTGAACACCTACTATGTGCAGACACTTATAAGTAGTGTGCAATGCGGCACCATCTGCATCCTGCTCTTAGGATATTGTGTTCCACTGGGGGAGATGTCAGTTGTTATAAATAATTAGAGGCAGCCAATTCTTGTTTTTCTTGGCCGTTCCATTCTATAAGTTCCCCCCAATGTTGAGCAATGATCCATGGCTCCCAGAGCAGGATGAACCGAAGTCATTAGTGCACTGCAAAACACACACATTTGTGTGCAAGAAACCGGCCGGCAGAGCACTGCCTTGTCTGGCTTCAGCTGATGTGCATCCAGAGACTCAGCTGTCTCGTTGCTCTGCAGGTGACAGCCAAGTGCCACCAGCACCGGCTGGGGCTACAGACCCATCTTGGTCAGTGGGCGAACACAGCTATATGCCAGGTCAGTTGTCTCTCCAGCTCTGGGCTGTGGTTGCTGCCCTGAGGAGGGAGGGGTTCCAGGTTCACAGAGGATGGCATTTGAGGGAAAT